AGGCTTCTTACCAATAAATGGTAAGATAGCAATATCAAAGGAAGAAAAGAACAAAAGACTTTTGAGTAAGGTAGAACGTTCTTAGTTACTTGCTCACAATCTATTCTAAAAAACAAAACATTTTCAAACACACCAAATATTTTCCAAAAATACGAAATATTTTCAAAAGTCTAACACTTTGTATACATTCTTATAGAGACGAGAGTCATTACAAAGTTTGCATAAACGAATGCGCTTTTTCAAAAATACTTTCAAAATCCACCACAAACACATTTTCAAATAAAACAAGTGATCTAGAAAGCAACTAAGAGCCCGTAGATAACTACAGATGAAAAGGGCGCTAAAACCTTCCCTTTTCATAACCTACCCCCTGAACTCAAGAAAATAATCTCAAAGGTCTTTCCTGTTCTTTTCACCCTTTCCTTTATTTGGATAAAAGAAAAGTTGGTGGCGACTCTTGCTATCCGCAACAATTGAGATAAAACACAAAACACCCAAGTCAATTCTCCCACCGTGTTACACACTCCAACTGCATTCCAGATAAGATTTCTTGAAAAAAGTGAAGCCACGAATTCTGATCAGTGGTGTGTGGGTGAATCTTGCGAACATAAGATCTCAGTTGCATCTTAGGACAAGAAACCCCGTCATATTTGGCAAAGATATGGATCTTGAATTTGTGGGGAATGATTACTCCAGGGACCAAACCTAAGTCTCCAAAGTCTAGACCAGGTACTGCTTTGATTTCCACAATCTTAAGTCGGTCTTCAAGCTGTTTGTATTTTTCATTCGCAGGTGTATACTATTCCTCATAATAGTCTTTATCCTCAGTAGCTTGGTTATCCCTAGCTCTAGTGCTTATAGCTTCCTCTTCTTGATTGTCTTCTTCCCCAGAAGGAGAATATTCTTTTTGAGCTAGTTGGGCAGGTCCCTTGAACTTTCTTCCTATGTTGAGGATGAAAGCCTTCTTCTTAGTCTTCTTCTTGCTCCCTTTGGTGAAGAGTGTTTTCAGATCTTCTTGCCCCTTGGCTAAATTCAGGAACATTTGTTGGAAATGGGCATTCTGAGCTTGGAGATCTTTAACTGTTTGCTCTAGAGCCATTTTCTTACTGAAATAAACAGCGAGAAAAATGAGAAACCTGTCTTGAGAACACCTGTTATGTAATGACATGCATGATACGTAAAAATGCAATGTTTTCAAGGATCTCGCGGGGTAAACACAAGAAGATGTTAGAAGTTGAACTTTGATCACAATTTTGATTGGAGAACTTCGTATTGTTGAATGTCCTTCCACGAGAATCAAGCTCACCATGTCGAGTGGGTCATAGCCCTTGACTCTTGTTACCATGCTTTGGGCTTTGACAACATTTGGTTAGAGGAGAATAAATCCTCTTGCCCTTTGATATACGTCTGGTTTATCATGACCCTGCATTATAGGCCCTTGAGATCCTTGAAATGGTTATTGACAATGCTATGGTATGATGTCATGATGTTATGTACAAGTAATCATACACAAGCAAAAGCAAACAAGTCGTTATATACAAACAAAGCAAATAAATCCTTAGGTTTAGGCTTGCATGGAGTTTATAGGTAAGTACCCTCTTGAAGTTTAGTTGGCTCAACATGTCCTAGAAAGTAGTCGGGTTCTAGGGAATGTCAATATCACTGATCTTTCTTCATCGGACATTATTTCAGTGCAAGCCTCTTTATTGGCGATCGAAATATCCCGAAAGTTCGATCTCAATGAGCGTAGCATCAAGCATCAACCAGTATTCGACTCTACACCAGATCCGGCTATCTCACTACTTCTTAATGGCCAAGTTGTTCAATTAAAGGTTCTAAGGTAAGTTAGTGCTTCATGACACCGCTCAGCGGCCCCGTATTCTCCTCGATTCAACACAAGGGATACCGGTACCAACAAATGTGTCACACTAACGTAGCCATCGCTTCAACTATGTCAGTATACCCCACACAACCCCCACGATCTATTGCTACTTATCTAATGGTGTTCCCAGATCCGGGTAGAGGATCAATACAAACCCAAACAAGGACCCATAAAAATATAAAGCAAACAAATCAAACAATGAAAGCAAGTAAATGTGATCTAACTCTAAGGTAACCCCACTTTTAAGTTTCCCCAGCAGAGTCGCCAGTTCTGTAATACGGTGGGATAACTGACTTGGTTGTTTTGCGTTTTATCGCAATTGTTGCGGATAGCAAGAGTCGCCACCGACTTTTCTTTTATCCAATAAGGAAAGAGTGAAAAGAACAGGAAAAACCTTTGAGATATTTTCTTGAGTTCGGGGGGTAGGTTATGAAAAGGGAAGGGGTTAACACCCTTTTCATCCATAGTTATCTATGGGCTCTTAGTTGTTTGCTAGATCACTTTTGAAATTACTTTGTTTGAAACATGTTTGTGGTGGGTTTTGAAAGTATTTTTGAAAAGCGCCTTCGTTCAGGCAAACTTTGTAATGATTCTCGTCTCTATAAGAATGCATACAAAGTGTTGGACTTTTTGAAAAATTTCATGTTTTGAAAGTGTTTGGTGTGTTTGAAAAGATGTTTGTTTTTTGAAGATGGATTGTGAGCAAGCAACTAAGAACGTTCTACCTACTTAAAAGTATTTTGTTTATTTCTTCCTTCTTTTTGTATTGCTATCTTACCATTGATTGGTAAGAAGACTTATCTTTGGATGTAAAGGGACGTGCGTGGGTCATGGTATAATCATGAATAACAATACTGTGATATATCTTAGCATTTTTCTTGAGGGACTAAGATCATTTATAAGGCAACATTCGAAGCGTCATCGAGGGACTATGATCTTGTATTTTTTTGATTGTTTTTGTTAAGACGTCTCACATGCATAACATGACCATTTTTCATAAGGAAACAAGTGGAGTTAACTCTAGAGGTGCAAGTGTTTGTATTTCATATTTGTTTTATCTTGAATTAGGGTTTTCTAAGTATTGATTTTATCTTTCCATACAAACCCTAATTTACTAGCATTGATATGAAAACGATAAATTGCAGAAAGTAAATTTACTACGCTATTACATCATTTGGGGAGGGGGATAAAAATTAACAAATGGGGATTGTAAGAAATTAAACCCTAATTATCTATTACAACCATATTGAATTTGTACAAGAAATGACATGAATGTAATATACAAGGAATACAAAAAGAAATGAATTTTGCTTTGAATTTTTATTAGGAAAAGATTTTGACCTAAATAATTAAATAAGGGTAATTAATTAAAATAGGAAAAGTCCTAACGACCAACACCTCGTCTCCCCGCAAGCAAGGCTTAACGAGCAAAACTCGCTTCCCCGTCAGGCACGCCCCGTTCCATGAGCAGATGTTAAAGTCATCACTCCTGTGTCCAGAAGCAACGACTTAAGGGACTATTATTCTAGATTGGTCTGACAACTTGACTGGGCCTGGTCCATGACATCTCATTTGGTACGACCCGCACGATCGTGACCCAGATTGCCTGCTACCTATCGAGTATATCGACCATTTGCCCCCCCCGAACCAGCACTGGCCCAGGATGACCGGCGAGTATCCTGTCAGCCTGCCCGACATCAACGTCATACAGGCCACCAGGAATCGACCAGAGAGATGCCCGTAACTAACTCCCTCCCCGAGACCAATGGCTAGTTACGAGCACATCTGCCCAATTTGACCAAGTCCTGACAGTTTCCTGATTTCACGGACCTGCATATCTAGGCGTGAAATCAGAAACCAATGGCCACGCGCCAGAGACATTATATAAACCCTCACACATGTGAGGGCCAGGGATCGAATACTTACCATTCACCACCTAATACTTTGCTTGTACCTCATTGTTCCCACTCTTACTTGATTGTTAGAGTGCCTTGCATGTACAATCCCCTTTTCTCATCGACTTCACAGTCCGACTACAAATCATCTTCCGACCACTCCTCAGGTTCTAATCAACCGACAAGATCATAAGGATTTTTGGAGAGGGTTTAAGGAAACTATTGCAAATGAAGGTGATCAAGCTGGTTGCTGTTTTTTAACAATTTGACTTTTGATTTTTCTGAAAATACATCTTCGAAAATATCTGACCTACAAAGGTGACAAAAATTCCAATTTCCCACACTAATTTATCGAAGATACATCTCAGAATATCTCCGGTCATATCCCTGTAATGATTCTGAATTAATTAATTATTTTATAATTCCAAAAATATATCTCTGAAAATTTTCTTAATTTCACTATTGAATGACACAATATTTGATCGCGTTTGTGTGATGTGAAGGGTGTATCCGAAAATATATTTATGAAAACAAATGACCAATTTTAGATTTTCATAAGATTCTTTTTACTTACTCCTTCCGTAACGAATTATAAATAAAATTGATTTTTTTATACATTTGACAATTAATATATATAGTTTAATAAACTACATATATTAATCGTCAAATATAAATAAAAAAAATCAATTTTACTTATAATTCGTTACAAAGAGAGTATATCGGATGTAAGAAGAAATTCCCAAACATTTAATGAATGATTTTGAGTAGTTCACTTCACTTTGCATATTTGAACGTATGAGTATTTCAAACCCTTCAACTTTGTCATATTTACAAACATTGTGAATTGTCATATGAATTATAATTAAATTTAAAAATAGATTTAGATATAAAGAATATCTTTGGGCAAATTAGTACAACTTTATCGTGGTAACCTAATTACAAACGGTTGGCAGGCATAGATAAACCGCATAGAGATATAGATAAACCCGTTGCATTCGTCATATCGTATCCATTGAAAATGCGCGTAGAACAAAAAAGATAACAACAACACAAACTCACACTCTCTTCTCTCAATTCTCCTAACAATTATGGCCAAACTAGTTCCCAGTTTAGTTCATCCATTGAAGTCAAGGTTTTTCGGTAACCATTACACTCTTTTAACCAAACAACTTTATGGGGTTCAACCAAAGCTTTCTTATTCTTCTTCTTCATCCAAGATAAGCATGAGCCTCAAGGCTGGTATTGTTGGTCTCCCAAATGTTGGCAAGTCTACTCTCTTCAATGCCGTTGTAAGCCATTCTCTTTCTCTGTTGCTTTGATTTTTTTTTTTGTTGGTAACTAGTTATTATTTGAAATAATGGGTCTTTGTTCCATGTGTTATGTGTTAGGTAAGTAAGTTATCTTTCATACAGTTTTGGGTATCTGGGTGCTTAAGTATTAATTGTAAACGGTATATTTTGTTTGATGGGTATTATGTGTTTGATAAAATGTCTGACTGAGATTAAGGTTCTATTTAGCAAAGCCAAATAGCTTATAAAGTGTAGCAGAGATTAAAGGAAGTGTAGCAGAGATTGAGGAAGTTGCGTGGGATGTGTGGTAAGACTAGACAATATAGGAGTAGAAGTGAAAATATTTGAGAGTGTTGGGGTATCACCTATAATAGAGAAGATGGTGAAAAATAGACTTAGATGGTTTGGGCATGTATAGAGAAGACTTGTAGATTCTGTGGTAAGGAGAGTAGAGAGTAGATAAGATTGAGAGAAGTCAAACAATTAGAGGAAGAGGAAGACATAGAAAGACCATAAGAAAAATTATTAAGAAAGATCTCAAGATTAATGATTTGGATAGAAGCATAGTCTTTGATAGAACATTATGACGCAAGTTGATCTATGTAGCCGATCCCACTTAGTGGAATAGGCTTAATGTATAAGTTTGTAATTTGTATAATCAAATAATAGTTGTTTGGTTATGAATCATGATAATTTTCTCGCGAGCTTATAACATTTTTCACTTGCTTATAATACTTTTTCATAAGCTACTTTCATTTTTATCTTCACTATCTGAATTGAAGACTTTAAATATTAATTTAAAAAAATATATTTTTATGTCAATTTTGTATTTATCACCTAGTTCAACAATTAATTTTTACGAAGCATTTCAAATTCAATTTGCTACCTTATCAGCTATCTGTTACGAGTTAGCTTATCTGTTATCCCCTATCGGTTTGCTTATGACAAGATTTTATTTTAGCGGTCTGTTACGTGATTTAGTCCTTTTGATGGCTTTCGTAACCGAGTTAGCTGTCCTTGTTTTGTATGATTTAGAGACAGAGGTGATGAAAACTAAAATTGAAGACTGAATTCTAGGGTTTTCAAGAGGAAACCCTAAGAATCCAGCATAACGAACATGGTTTTATTTTTATCAGTGAAATGATTGAAAGATTCCAAGAGGAAAAAGTTCATAAGCCTGGTAGTCTACTGTAATACATTGGAGGAATTTATAGTCTTAAGTGTATACATGGCAATAGCAGAAATAACAAACAAACTGAATTATGCGTATGTCTTAACTACCAACGGCTAACTCCGGCAATATTCAGTTACATAACTGTCAACTGTCATAACAGCCATTTGAGCTCTGCATCAGGAGGGTTTGTTGCTAATTTTCTATCAATTTTATACTGACTGTTCCTCGGGGTTGTGCTATATGTGTTTTTGCATTTCAAAGCTTTTGCTAGTTTCTGTGTATAGCACTATTTAAAATAAACAGTAGTTCCTTTGTATTATGATTAACACTAATGCAACAGATGAAATTGGGATATACACCTTAATCCTTATATACATTCAGACTGCTGATGCTTTTTTAAAGTCGAGAAATGGTTAACTGAGGTGATTTATTATATTATTGTATTATAAAAACTATAAATAGGAGTGAACTTGTTTGGAGGATTGAAAAAAATCCTAAGTAGCATATAATATAAGTAATTAATTACCTTGCACGGTGCTAAAAATAGTGAAGCGAACTATTGTAGCTAATGAAGTTGATAAGAGGAGAAACAAGTAGTACATTCAAGTGCTTAATTATAAGTTAAATTGAAGACTAAGAAAATAGGATACTTGCTGTGTACGGAGATGCATCTCTGGACCATATTTTGTGCAAAATGGGGTGAATCTCAGAAAAGCGAAGATTGGTGTGATTTTGGGTGCTTCCAGAGACGCATCTCCGGACGCATGAAGGACATTTTCGGGTTTCCAAGGGTGTGGGAGGCACCACTAAGGGTGGAAAGAGCATTCCCAATTCTTTATTTCTCATGTCTTTAAATATGTTTGTTCATATTTACAACACAAACGTCTTTCATACATTGTAGGTGTAATGAAATAGGAAGGAAATAAAAATATAGAAATACAAGAAATTAAGTCTTGTAACTGTTACAACTAGCAAAACAAGAGTTAGAATGACTGTTCATCATTTTATTCATCTCTCTTTTATTTGGGTTTCAATACAACTGTGTTACACTTACACTATTAATTTGACTACTGTTATTGTTAGAATAGTAAGTATTAACATTTTTGTTAGAATATACGGTCAACAATATTATGTGATGAGTTACTGGTTAAGCTTCAAGTTAGCTACTAATTACTAGGCTCTGTATGTTTGCTTGAAATAAACTCGTAATTACCCCCTTGATACTCCACTATCGATTATAGACAAGCTATAAATAAGAAATCGGTTGTGCAGCCCATACATAGAATAGCTTTCGATGAAACTCTCTTTGAACAAAAATTATTGCTTCCAAAGGCTTTTACCAAAATTCCAGTTCCTACTGCTAAATGATAAACATAATTCCATAACATGCTTCCTTTTGAATATTTCAGTTTTTTTTTGTCCTTTCACTTATTTGACAAGTTGCTTAAAATATCAGTGTTATTATTTGTTTATATATTGTAGATAACTTAAAGTTAGGGGCATGAGTTTAGTTTACAAGATTTTAAGACAATAAATTATTAGACAGACTCTTACAGGTGTGCTGAAGTTGAATCTAAGTGCAAAGTTTCTAATATCTCCCTCTTATACTTCCCAATAGGCTATTACTTGTGATATGGTGACATGTTTTAAAACTTTCTCAAATTTTATGGTTTCTCGGGACTTTATGTAGTAGCTGTTATGAAAAATGAATATTTTGAACCACTACTTTGACCAAATACGCCAGAACTATTTTAGCATTATCCTTGCAATAACTTTATATGCCTTCGTGCAATCAAATAACTTTAATTTCTTCTATATATTTTGTATTGATGTTATGTATAGATATAAACCTTGTTCTGAATGCAATAGTAATTAAATATTGATTAGTAGTGATCTCACATGTCTAGGTGGAAAATGGAAAAGCCCAAGCTGCTAATTTCCCTTTTTGTACAATTGAGCCAAACGTAGGGATTGTTGCTGTTCCAGATTCTCGTCTCCAAGTGCTCTCCGACCTCAGTAAATCTCAACGAGCTGTTCCAGCGTCTATAGAGTTTGTAGATATTGCTGGGCTTGTCAAGGGCGCAAGTCAAGGCGAGGTTCACTTAATTTCTCTTCTCCTTGTTTAGGTTTGGTGTCAACTGACACTAATTTATCTTATTTTTGAATCTTCTCTTTATTTGTTGTAGAAACTTACATGAATTGCTTTAATCTCTATCTTACCTCAACTGTTGCAGGGGCTTGGTAATAAGTTTTTATCACATATTCGTGAAGTGGACTCCATACTTCAGGTGTTTATCTATCATCATTTTACTTTCATCTTCTATTCTTTTCATTTTGTATCTTCCCTTTTTAATAACTACATCGATTGGATAAATAGCTTAGTTAACCACTTATAATGTAAGTGCTTATGTATAAACTATTTCTATAACAAAATATAAAATAAAGTCAAGTGCTTTCATATATGTTTTAAACGATTTTTAGAAGCAATTCTAGAGAGCTCATGGAAATAAGTGGAAAACACCTTATGGACATGTCATAAGCTATTTTCATAAATTCTCCTAAACAGTCTCACAAGTGCTTATGGTAGTATTTTGTAACTGATATTAAATTATTAGGAGAGTTAGTGGGTAATTATTAGAATAATTATATAATTAATTAAGAGTGTTTAGGTTTAGGATAAATAGGGGAAGATATTAGAGAGATGATCATCCTGGAATTGAATAGGAAAAGGGCCATTTTGGCATTTGGGAGGTGCAGACCCTCGAAGTTCTGCAATATCATTCTGTTTTAAAAGGGAGTTTCCCTATTTCTTATTCTATATCAGTTGGTTTCTATCAACTGGTATCAGAGCAGTTCTGATCTAAAAGAGATTTTGCCAGTGTGCTGGAAATTTTGGCATGAATATGGCTGCAGATTTGGTGGAAGGGGAGGCCTACTGGTGGCTGATCCAAGCTGAGCAAAATATTGGGTCAAGAAGAATGAGTGAAGAGATGAAGCCTGAGTGGGCTGTGGCATTTGCATTGAGAGGAGATGCTCTCGATTGGTGGATTTCTTGGAAGGAGAGTCATCCAAATACTTGTTGGTGGAATTTTGCAAAGGCCATTCTCAAGAAATTCCAACCAGTAGTTTGGGTTTGTCTACTGGAATCTGAAAATGAAACACAGGAAATCCAAGGCAAGGCAGCGATGAAATTCAAGAACCAATAGCATATCCAACTGAAGAAACGATTGGTGGTAAAGTTGAAGACTCACAAATCCAACAATATAGGGAAAAAGAAGTTTGTAAATTGGATATCAAATCTGATTGCGAGGGCGACGAAGTGAAAAATACAGATTCATTGATGGCCACTAGTGAAGCAAATGTCCAAAGAAGTGACCGAGAGTCGGCTATTTCATCACAGGCAAAAGACTCACTATTGTCGGTGTTTGCTACTATTCCTAAGATAAAGTCTAGGAACAAGAAATTTCCACTACTGGTGTCACCGTGGCCACAAAATTTGGTCACAAGAGGACTGTCATTAACAAGAAAATTTCCTATTTCATGTACAATCTTTATTTTTCATTTTATGGGATCCGGGAGGATACATTTTTCCTATGTATTTCTTTCACCTTGAGGACAAGGTGAATCTTTAGGGGGGGAGTATTGTTAGACTCTTCAGTTTTGTAACTGATATTAAATTATTAGGAGAGTTAGTGGGTAATTATTAGAATTATTATATAATTAATTAAGAGTGTTTAGGTTTAGAATAAATAGGGGAAGATATTAGAGAGATGATCATCGTGGAATTGGATAGGAAAAGGGCCATTTTGGCATTTGGGAGGGGCAGACACTCGAAGTTCTGCAATATCATTCTGTAATCAAAGGGAGTTTTCCTATTTCTTATTCTATATCAGTTGGTTTCTATCAATTTATTAATTAATTAATTAATTAATTATTTTTTTTTTTGATAAAAGGGAGACTCTAAACAGAGGGGGTTTTATCTGGGAATTCAATTAGTGAGTGGTTATTGGGAGAGACCCAACTCTCGAACATTTGGGAAGGGAGAGATCCAAGACTCTCGAATTCTTGGAAGGGAGAGAACCAAGACTCTCGAATTCTTGGAAGGGAGAGAACCAAGACTCTCGAATTTCTTGGAAACTTATTGTAATTACTATTAAATTTTATTGTTTGATATCAGTTTCTATCAACTGGTATTAGAGCAGTTTCCTTCCGGGACTGCTTTATGGTATTGACGCGAGGGGAAATGGAGGTTAGATTGGAAATTCTCGAACGTGGATTTGAAGCACTGTTAGCAATTAAAGAAACAATGGAGAAACAGCGCGAAGAAGACTGTGTGGAGTGAATGGAGGTTAGACGGCAAATGGCAGAATTGGTCGAAACCGTTCGTCGCACAAGGCGCCAAATTCCAGGAGGAACACGACACAGCGAGAGCCGTTCAGATGAAGAGGATGCGTCTGTGAATCACCGTCCTCCAAGGTTTTGCGAAAAGCATGGCGAAAATTGGAAATTCCAATTTTTGAAGGAGTTGATGCTTACGGTTGGTTGAATTGTGTTGAGCGTTACTTTGACCTAAAGCAAGTGGAGGAAACAGAGAGACAGCAGGCAGCGATGGTTGCCATGGAGGGCAAAGCACTTGCTTGGTTTCAATGGTGGGAGTTTTCTACACCAAACTCGACTTGGGAGGAATTCAGAATAGCCATACTCAAAAGATTCCAACCCTCAATGATCCAAATTCATTTGAATTGTTGTTGAGTTTAAAACAAGCTGGAACAATGGAAGAATATAGAGAGCAATTTGAGTTATATGCCGGCCCCTTGAAATGTGCCGAACCATCTTATTTAAAAGGAATGCTTTTGAATGGACTGAACGATGTTATAAGGGCAGAATTGAAACTGCACCCTGTAGAACGGTTGACTGAATTGATGGATTATGCACAAAGGGTGGATGAGGAAAATAGCTTGTTGAATAAACGGAATGGTGAAACAAATTCTGGTGGTGAACCAACCTTCAAAAACCATGACAAAAGCAGGGCTGTGACAGGTCATCCTGGAAATAAAAGTAATCCACAAACTGTTTTCAGTGCTGCAAGTTTATCATGCGAGGCAAATCAGTCACAACTAAATTTTTTCAAAGACAAAGGCTTTAGAAGGTTGACAGATGCAGAACTGCAAGATAAATCACTTAAAGGATTATGTTTCCGATGTGATGAGAAGTTTAGCCCTGGACATCTATGTGCAAACAAACAATTTCAAGTCTTGCTATTGGAGGAAAATGTGGAAGATGTGAACTATGCTGAGAAACCCAAAGAAGTGGGGTGTGAATTCAAGTTCTGGGACCCCGGGAGACACTTGGGTACTCCTTCACCTTGAGGACAAGGTGAATCTTTAGAGGGGGGAGTATTGTTAGACTTCGTATTCAATATGGGTATAAGATGAAAGGACAAAACTGATTATATCAGTTATGGGAAAATTACTGCCAAGGCAGTTACTTTATAGGATAGTGGCTGCTAGTTAAGGGGTGTTACTGCTATGGGCAGTAATTAATTATGTAATTATTTATGTCTATTCAGTTTTAGGTGGTGTGTAATTATAAAAGGGAGACACTAAACAGAGGGGTTTTATCTGGGAATTGAACTAGTGAGTGGTTATTGGGAGAGACCCAACTCTCGAACATTTGGGAAGGGAGAGATCCAAGACTCTCGAAATCTTGGAAGGGAGAGAACCAAGACTCTCGGATTTCTTGGAAACTTATTGTAATTACTATTAAATTTTATTGTTAGATATCAGTTTCTATCATAGATAAACTCAAATAAAGTCAATCCAAACAGACTATTAGTAGTAGATATGCACATTTTGCTTATTAGAACTTGGGAGTTTGGAAAATACTGCATGTATTGGATTTTTGTTGTGTTTATTTATCATTTACTGATTTAATATTGCTATGAATCGGTTGATTATCACATTAGGTTGTTAGATGTTTTGACGACAATGACATTATTCATGTGAATGGGAAAGTTGATCCCAAATCTGATATTGATGTTATCAACTTGGAGCTTGTTTTCACAGACTTAGACCAGGTCAGCTTACTAACTATCATTCTACACAATTTACCGCCTTTGTTTCATTTGAATCTATTATTACCATTCTTAATGTTTGTGGCAACACATACTGACTTCAATCATATTTATCATAATTGTTTTAATTTATTTGGTTGAGATTATTGTATTACTTTCTTCCTCTATGTTGTGTAGAGTACTTTTGGGTTTCTGTGGCAAAATTAACTGATCAAATCAAACTAAGATATTCCTTGTTTGAAGAAACGCAGATTGAGAAAAGACTAGATAAACTAAAAAAAAGCAAGGCAAAGGATTCACAAACTAAAGTCAAGGTTACAGTCTTTAAATGTTATTACCTGTCACTGACTCATAAATTGGTTAGTTACGACACACCATTTGACTTTGAAAATTTTGTTTGTAGGAAGAGGCAGAAAAGGCTGCTTTGGAAAAAATTAGTGTAGCACTCTTGGATGGAAAACCTGCACGATCTGTGGCCTTAACAGACTTTGAAAAGGATGCTATAAAGAATCTCTGCTTACTCACCATGAAACCCGTAATATATGTGGCAAATGTTGCGGAGACTGATCTAGCCGATGCTACAAACAATGATTACGTTGTAGGTGTCAAGAATGTTGCATCTGAGCTGAAGTCAGGAATTGTAACAATTTCAGCACAGGTATACTGCTAGAAAGGCAACTTATGAGTTATATATGCACAGCAAGATAAATGAATATGTTGCCTTGTTTGTTTTCTAGTTACACTAAGGTAGCATAGCTTTGCCATTCATTTATCTTGAAAATGATTGTACAAAGGTTTAAGCTTTTTATGCGAACTTTCTTTCTCTGAAAAAAGAAAATCAGTAGTATGGTGGTAGATGGTCAAACTTTCCTTGTTCAATGGTTTGTCCATTCTCTTCTATTATCACATGTTATAGAGTCTGGGAAGGAAACTATTGCGTCTTATCTTACCACCTGGCACTGCAAATGATGATCATTAGATCTGTATCCACTGTTCTGATGAGGTGGTGGTGATGTTTGCGGGTGTGTATGTGACCCTTTTAGTTGTCAAACTCTTCACCATTCAAGTAGGTTCATCCTCATGAAGTCTTAGGGTGTTTGATACACACTACGGTACAGGATAGGGACAACAACACATGACAAACATTTGAGTCACACAAAAGTCTGTCTCGTGCATTGTTAGATGGATGATACACAACACAAGAAAATTGAAACGTCATTTAAAACACCATTTCAAACATCATTTCAAGTTACTCTTATTTAAATTTAGTATCATTATCCTCCTAGCCATCTTCATATTTCTAAATATGGTTATATGACTATTTAACCTTGCCGAGTTAGTCACGTTTCTCTGGGAAAAAGTACTGAAAGTAGGTTTGACTTTTTCTGTTCAATGAGTTTTCCTTTCTCTTCTAGTTTCACAAATCTCATATGGGTAATTGCAACTTTTCATGTATTTTCAATGGGGAAATTTGATGATGTCAACTTTTGCTAGATTGGTCACTTGATAGCTCATGATATCTCTAGATTGAAATAACAAGTATTGGCACTCTTGTTATTATAGCGACATAGATTCAAAATCAAGTAAGATGGGGTTATTTGTCTTCGCAGGTTGAGGCAGAGCTTTCTGAACTAGCAATTGAGGAAAGGCAAGAATATTTGAAATCCCTTGGTGTTAGTGAAAGTGGTCTTGGGAACCTAATTAGAGCAACCTATGATCTTTTGGGGTTGCGAACTTATTTTACTTCTGGTGAGAAGGTAAGACGAATCCTTGGAAAGTTTTAGAGAGCATACTGTATAGGGTATCCTGTTAAAAACGTGTGCAATGATAATGACATTATATGTTAACTTGAACCTCTTATTAGTTATTCCACAATTAGTATTGTACGTAACTAGTAAAACTAAATGTTTCCCTAGGCATCCCAGGTTTTAACTCTCCTGTATTTCATTTCCAAAACTGATGTTGTTTTTCTTATGGTTCACACAGGAGACAAAAGCATGGACAATACTTGAAGGTTAGTTTTTTGTTTTCTTATCTTGTTCATATTTAGCACTGACACTTCAGATTGAGGCGTGTCGAGTATCCAACACGTGACACTAACACATTAGTAACATTCAACTATATAATTTTCTCAAATTCTTACTTTTGTTGACCTGGCAGTGTCGTGTCAGGTACCTGTGTCTGTGTCTGCGTCACTGCTTCGTACATATTACACACATCCTTTTATGAATACCATGTTCAAATAATTGGACATATAGAAATTTAGAGCCCTGGTACTTCGACACAAAATGGGACAACAAAGTTCAGCAATAAACCTAAACACATTAAAATATAGTCTAGGGTACAATTTAAATACATGATTGTTTATGTTTAGTAGATGATTAATGAATATAACAAGGTGTGCTACCCATTCACCATCCACATAACATAATTAACAACTATTTTGAATGTTATTAACCATGATTTTCATGAGTATATTTGAACACAAATTGTTGTTAATAGATATCATGTATATTTGAACAACTGAAAATCATGGTTAACAATGTTAAAAGTCGTGGTTACTTTACATTTAAGGGATGATTAATGAGTTGTGACATCTTTTTATATTAATTAACCATCCACATAACTTAATTAGCCACATATTTGAACAGCGTTAACCATCCAAATGGTTGACTTTTGTTGTCAAATTTATGTGTCAATATCATTTCTCATAATCTTAAAACAGGTTATTAAATTTCAATTGGAGTTTGCTTTATCTTTGGATAGGCAATACTATTTTTCCTTCTGTTGACACATGACTCTCGTTAAATGATATTGTGGCTTTATTTTGTATGCTTGACTGCCCCTTTTTCTTATGAAGTAATCTTCCTGATGGGCCAAGCAGAATCAATAGTAATATTAGGGTTTGGATTGAATCTCATCTAAATTTTAAATCTCTGTTTTACTAGGAATGACTGCACCTCAAGCTGCTGGAGTTATTCATTCTGACTTTGAGAAGGGTTTCATTCGAGCAGAGACAGTAAGCATGAAGGATACATACACTTTTGAACTCCTATTTTTAATACATTGTGTAGTACATTACTTGGAAATTGGCCGGTTCAATTAGACTGCAGTTCAAACTAGATTGAACCAATGAGTGAGCTAGCCAGTTTCTTGTTCAACTGGCCGGTTGGTCTGATGCTTAAAATATTGATTATACACGACATTAATAATAAGAATCTCTAACTTTTGTCCAAAGTTTATACTGTAGAGCTGAAGGTTAGACAAGAAAATCTGATTTTCAGTACTACTTTTGGTTAAAGGCATTGAATTTAACCAATCTTGTATTAATAATAAATAATTAGATTCCAAAAATTAAGTAATAATCTCTAAAGTAGATAGGAAAAATACCATTGAGCATAAGAAATTATTTTTGTTCAATCTATAAGACTCGTGGAGCTGAATGGGGCGGTTATTGGGTAGTAAAGAACTAACAGGAAAGAAAACTCAATTTTGCAATAATGATAATGTTAAGATGGATCGACGCTCACTCAAGACAATAGGATTATGGATGCAATTACTTAAAGAAAATTGGCGGAGTTTCTATTATACTACCTCCGTCCCTATATATGTAAGACCTTCTTTTAAAAATTTCTTGTCTCTTTTTATAAAACCCTTTTTAAATTACAAGATATAGTAGTTTTCTTTTCACAAAAATAGCCCTTATTTAAATGAGAAAAATTAAAGACTAATAATTTCTCTCTTTATAATTGAAACATAGTTTTGGAAGAAGAATGTACTCCTATATTGTTGAAAGATTTAATATAAAACTACTTTCTTAATTCTTGTGTATTGACTAAGAGGGTGTTACATATAGGGAAGTAGGTAGTAGATAAGTGTTAGACCTCTCATTAAGGAAAATTGACTTTGGTCAATTTTGTAGCAGTTATGTTTTTATAAGGAGCGATTACGTTTTATTAATTCTGTCGGTTTATTTTTAGAATAAATAGGGGGAGATAGGGGAGAGTATTATCTTGGAATTTGACTGGAAATAGGCCATTTTGGAATTAGGGGAGATGCAAACTCTCAAAGTTTTGCGATATCATTCTGTAATCAAAGGGATTTTCCCTATTTCCTTCTTCTATATCAGTTGGTCCCTATCATAAAGATGGTCGAATTTCGTCTAAGGTGGCTCAGATATGTGGAGAAGACTCATTGAATCACTATCGTGGGGGTTGACTAGACGGAATATAGTCTAGTAGTTAGAGGTAGAGTAAGACCAAGAAAAGCCACATGTCATTGAGAGAAATTGTGGAAAACGATCTTTAACTTAATATTTGATTAGGAGTTATAGAATTTTCTGATTTGTGTAGTTGATCCCACTTGGCTGGATTAGGCTCGGTTGTTTTTGCTATATCTTAGAATTGGCTCTGTTTATTCATCATTTAGATTCCCGGGGAAGTGACTGGATCTTCATCTACTATTTCATAAAAAGAGTTCTTGGGCAATTATGTGGTTGGACACATGAGGCTTTTTAACCTTCAGGGTGTCATATTGCAGTGGTGTTTTGCGCTTATCGTTGATGCTTCCTTACCATGTATTGTATCAGCTGTTGTTTTTCAGAAATTACTCCATACTTGGGTTCTTTGGTGTCAAACAAGCTGTTCATACTAGGGCTGCCATTAGTAGCTTGGAATGATAAATTGCCGTCACAATTCAATTTCCTTATCCTCAGCCTTGAGGACACAATAGGCAATTAACTAATCATTTGCCCAAATAAGGTACTGTGAGGAGAAAGAGAGAGGGTATCTTTGATCATATTGTTCAGTTAGAACCTTAGGGTTAGGCAGAGAAAGAATCATATATTCTTTAAGGAGCTTTGCTCTAGGATTATGGGTGTTTATCTTCTGAAACATTTTTTTTCCAATCAATAATACAACTCATTTTCTTTCATAATTTCAGGTTCCTATAAGATTCATACGTACTAAGATATTGATAGATCTTGTATAAATAGTGGGACTGGTATTATAATTGACAAAACTCTGAGAATACTTTCTGCAGAGTTGGGTACATGAAGAAGCAGAGAGGAATACAACTGTTGTACACCAAATAAATAACAGTTAGAAACTAATGTAAACTCTAGGAATTAGAGTTTAGTCTGTCCTAACCAACCAAACCTAAAACAACCTAATCCCATCTGTTTCCTACCTTTTTTTCTTCTATTTAAGACACCCTATTTACTTAAACTGGGCCATGTCAATTGGGCCCGCCCCTAACATAAACCTTTGTAATTAGAGGCCTACTAACAAATATAAAGATATGAAAGCTATTGTCACTGGATTGGGGAAACTGAATGAAGTAAGATCTTGAAAGTTTATCTACTTATTTTACATATGCTCTTGTTTGTTTTAAGCAAATATCAAAGGTTGTGTAATGCATTCATTAACGATCATTAAAAAAATGATATTTTAAATTAGGTGGCTTATAATGACTTTGTTGCTGCTGGTTCACTTGCTGCAGCACGAGAAAAAGGACTTGTAAGTTGCTCGATTCATTTCCCACCCAATAAACACGACTGCTTATTGATTTCTAATGTTTGTTAACAGTGTTATTGATTTCTAATTTTCTATATATGTGATTTAGTGATTATCATTTAGGTTTTTGTTCGATATGATCTGAATTCATTGGTCTATTCAAGGTTGGAAAGGACAAACATGATTCCACAAATAATCTACATATGTTGTGAACTGTTCAACCACCATTCTCTGTCCCCTGCAGGGCTTAATATAGCAAACCATTTTCTATTTTCCTGAAACATTATTCTAATTCACCTAAATATGTTGTTTGCAGTTGAGATCTGAAGGCAAAGACTACATTGTACAAGAAGGAGATGTAATGTTGTTTCGATTCAATGTATAGCAGAAATTACTGCTCCCAGCTGGGAATCAGTGAAGAAATTGAGATATAATTTATGACCAAGATCAGGAAAATTTTCAGCTAATTGCTGGGTATAGTTTGCAAAAGCATTGTTTCGATTTTGTGATGAAAATGTGACAGAATGCACCAAGGCAGAATTTTGAGAAAATTTATGACAACAGGTCATTTTTTTCAGCCAATTGCTAGTTATACTTTGGAGAGAGCCAAGAGAAGCATTGTTTTGTTTTAGTCACAATATTTTTTTCTTCTCATAGTGTAATGCATTATATTTGCTTAACAATTTATGATATAATAATGAAGTTTCTCTCTCCTTCATGCTCTGGTTAACTAAACTCTAGTGTTAACTGCGTTTTTCATGAATCTTGTTTTTTCAATTGGCTTCATCAACTATTTTCATTCAAATAATTACTTTTCATAAATAATTATTTATAAATTTTTGTCTTGAGATTTGTTAAGATATGGAATGATTTGTATATTGATATAAAGGATTGATTGCGTTCTTTTATTTTTCTTCTTTAATTAAGGTATTCTCATGGTACAATATTTGATAAAAATAAGATTAAATTGAGAGCTAATCTCTCAAGAACTTCCAGTGTAATAACAGCCATATAAGAATATGAAGGACCCATGAATCACGAGTGTTCTAGTACCAACTTAAAAACAAGAGATTGATATTGAATATTGTACACAACCCTTATTGTTCTCACCAGTCCTATCGTATGACTTGTCGTCATCTTATCGGCTGATCACCAAAAAAGTTATCCCCGCACATGTCGGTAGTGCCGCCGATGGAATCAAGGTGAACATATTGAAAACTCAATTTTGTCCTTCTCATATTTCGGAGAAACATCTCCAGATGCACCTTAAATTTTGTCCTTCTCATATTTCGGAGAAACATCTCCAGATGCACCTTAAATGCACACAACACTTCATAAGTGAACTATTCTTTTTCATATTTGTCAAAAACGAATCAGGTGATACATCTTTGTAATTTTTCAGGGTGTGTCCGTAAATGCATCTCTAGACTAACCTCTGTCTTTATTCTGAACTGATGGAAGGGTGTTTTTGCATAGCTCAAAGGGTATTTCAGACGTGCATACATCTCTGAAAAACCCTCAAAATTTAGAACATCAGTTCTAGGCAACAATTTTGTCTTGAAATTGATATTTTTTTAAAGATGTCATAACACCATACTAATTATACTAATGTAATTCAAGGATGTCGTATAGAAAAAATTCAGACGATAATATAAATTCATACATTAACCAATTAATAAAAACCTTGACCACAATACATAGTTTGTTCAGAAAATACAAATAATACAACTATTACCAAAATACAAATAAAAACTATTATGTATATTTAATCCCCTATTTCTCCTCTGTCGCATGTTTTGTAAGACATTATGTGCCTCAACTAAGATGGCATTACGGCGGCCATACCAAAACTTCCTTCCTCAAAATCTCATCTCTATATGGCATCTCTCACAAGCGTCGCAATGCGCTGACAAACCAACAACAAGTCTTGGGCGTAATCATCCCTAGCACGCTCTTCTTTCGATATCTCTTGATGAGTTGACCTAGATGGTGCTCCCACTGTCATGAATTCTGGCTTGATGCCTTTCTCATTGCATTTGATACTATATATAATAGTGTCGGTAATTACAACTCATAATGACTAATTACAACTCATAATAACTAATTACAACTTATAATGACAATTTCCTATTCTATGAATGTAAATTATTCACAATAAATGTGTTTGATTATTTCCTGATTAACATCCCCCCTCAAATTGATGCGGCTGGTCAAGGAGCATCAATTTGCTAACAAGAAACTGATGTCGCGGGCGTGGAACAACCTTGGTAAGAATATCTGCAACCTGCAACTGAGTACTGATGTGAGGAAGTGATATTATTCGATTATCGTAGGCGTCACGTATTGAATGACAATCAACTTCAATATGTTTGGTGCGCTCATGAAAAACAGGATTTGCAACAATTTGAATGACACTTGTATTGTCAGCATAAAGTGAAGTTGACTCTGTTTGGGGAAATCCAAGTTCAGCCAAAAGACCACGAAGCCAAAGTATTTCTGAACAAGCAACAGACATGGCACGATACTCTGATTCAGTAGAAGATTTAGAAACTATTGCTTGCTTCTTACTTTTCCAAGAGATCAATGAAGAACCAAGAAACATGCACCAACCAGTAACAGATCGACGAGTATCAGGACACCCTGCCCAACCAGCATCACTATAAGCACTCAACTGAAGAGAAATTCCAACGGAAAAGAATAATCGGCGGTGAGAGGTTCCCTTTAAGTAGCGAATTATACGATGAACCGCAGCCAAGTGAAGATGACGAGGAGAATGCATGAATTGACTTACTTGTTGAACAACAAAAGATATGTCAGGGCGAGTAATAGTCAAGTAGTTGAGGTTGCCCACAAGTTGTCGATACAATAAGGGATCAGGCAAAAGATCACCATCATCACGATGATATTTAACATTAACCTCAAGAGGAGTATCTACCAGGTTAGCCGATTCTAGACCGGCCATAGAAATCAAATCTGTAGCATACTTGTGTTGATGGAGAAAGATGCCCTTAGATGTAGAATGAACCTCAAGACCAAGAAAATAATGTAGATTACCCAGATCTTTCATGTGAAATGAGGCTTGTAACTGTTGCTTAAGTCGCTGAATGAAAGCATGATCCAAACCAGTAATAACCATATCATCAACATACAAAAGAAGCAGAACAATATCCGTAGATATGCTATGAATAAATAAAGATGAATCATACTGACTCTGAATAAAGGAGAATCCAAGTAGAGTGGAGCGGAATTTCTCGTACCATGCTCTAGGTGCCTGTTTCAAACCATATAAGGAGCGTTTGAGCTTACACACGCCTTTAGATGACGAGAATAATCCTTGAGGTGGAGTCATATAAATATCTTCTCTCAGGTCACCATGAAGAAAAGCATTCTTCACATCCATTTGATGAAGAGTCCAACCACTAGAAGCAACTATAGAGATGATCGTGCAGACAGTTATCATTTTGGCAACCGGTGCAAATGTCTCATCATAATCAATTCCATATTCCTGCTTGTTTCCTAACGCAACCAAACGAGCCTTGTAACGGTTGAGGGACCCATCAGAATTTAATTTCACAGAATACACCCATTTGCAACCTATAGGTTTTACACCGGGAGGGCAAGAGACAATATCCCATGTGAAATTCTCTTGAAGAGTTTGAAGCTCTTCATTCATTGCTTTTATCCATCGCACATCCTTAACAACCTGTGAGTAACAAGTAGGAATAGATATGCTAGAGAGTGTGGCAGTCAGAGAAGTATGTGAGGAATCATACCTGTCTGGTGAATATCTATCTGGTGCACGAGATATTCGACCATAACGCCGTGGTTCAACCGGTACAGGATCAGGTGGCAGTTCAGCGTCGGGAAGGGGTGTGGGAACCTGCTGTCTGTGTTTTCTGACATATACATGACCTGGTTTATAACGTTCTATAGATTGAGGCATAATAGAAAACTTAGGAAGAGTAACAATATCATTAATGGCAGGAGAAACACAGGGAAACATAAACTGATTATAAAAAAATGTCACATTTCTAGAAATGCAAAAAGGATGGTTAGTGACATCATAACACACAAATCCCTTATGAGAGTGACTATATCCCATAAATGCATATTGAACTGATTGTGCTCCAAGCTTATGCCTTTCAAAAGGAGGTAAGTGAACAAAACACACACACCCAAAAGTATGTAAAGCACTATAATCAGGATGAATTTTAAAAAGACGAAAGAAAGGAGAATCAAGTTCAATAACCGTAGAAGGAAGACGATTGATCAAGAAGACATATGTGGAAAGAGCTTCTACCCAAAATCGGGATGGTACTGAAGCTTGGAGAAGCAATGTGCGTGTTACATCAAGCAAATGACGGTTCTTCCGTTCTGCAATACCATTTTGTTGAGGGGTATTGGGACAAGATCGTTGCGACAAAATTCCTTTTTGTTGAAGGTATTCCTGAAACTTATGAGACATGTACTCACCACCAGAGTCAGAGCGAAATTTTTTAACACTTGCTTGAAATTGAGTTTCAACATATGTTAAAAATTTCTTAAACACAGAAAACACTTCAGATTTAGACCGAAGGAAATATATAAAAAAAACGACTATAATCATCAATAAATGTGACAAAATATTTATAGTGAGAATGAGAAACTACAGGAGACATACCCCATACATCACTATGAATCATTTCAAAACAAGTGGAAGCACGATAAGCACCAGACGGAAAAGGAAGTGTTTTACTCTTAGCTAATTTGCAAATAGAACATGAAATAGAGGCATTAGAAACATTTTTATTTCCCAACAAACCATTTTTAAATAAATGGGACAAAACAACATAGTTTGGATGACCTAATTTTCTATGCCAATCCTCATAAGAGTTCAAAACATTATTACAAGCAAGAGATATATGATTAGAAATAAACTGGAGTGGAAACAGTCTTCCCACTTTAGGCCCCTTCATGATCACTCTCCCCGACACCTGTTCCTGCACAAGACAACCATCACGAGAAAAGTTAACATCATAATTTTTATCTACCAATTGACCAACAGATAATAAATTAGACACAAGTCCAGGTGATACAAGCACGTCCCGAAAATCAGAGTTGATGTCGCCAATATCCGTAATAGATAAAGTATTACCATCAGCTATTTGAATTTTCTGATTACCATGATAAGAGTGTAAATTATTCAAATACTCTGAAGAACCTGTCATGTGATTGGATGCACCCGAATCAAGAAACCATGGGCGAGAAACATTAGAAGACTTACCCTGAATTCCCAAGGCCGGGAGAGCGGAAAGTACCATTTGTTGAATCAATTCAGGTTGTATAACACTATCGTTTGATGCCCCATTAGTGGAAGGACCAACCGCATGATTTGCATGGAATGCC